CATGAATGGAACTTAGGTCCTTAGGCTTAGCCAAAATTGCCTTTACCTACTGAGCTATTTTGCCAGCCTGAAGGCCCCTTAGTATAATTAACTTTTTACGTGTATGAGTGCTTTGCCTGCATGTATGTAAGTGTGCCCATGTCATGCAATGCCCACTGAGGTCAGAAGACAACATCAGATCCCCTGGAACTAGAGTTAAGGACAATTGTTAGCTGCCATGTGGATGTTGGGAACTGAACCAGGGTCTTCAGGAAGAGCAGCCAGTGCTCTTAATCGCTGAGCCATCTCTCTAGTCCTTACTTAAAAGGAAGAAAACAGGCTGGAAAAAGGGGAATGATTTCTTCATAGTTACGCTTTAAGATTATAGCAAAGTTCAGCTTACAGCCAGACTTCCTTTTTCAGTGAGTTAGGCTTTACTGCCTGGAATGTGCTAGAATATACATATAAACAGGTACACAGCCTGCACTAGAAAATTGCAGAATTAAACACCTTTCTTATTTATTTATTTACTTTTTAGTCTTTTTGATACAGGGTCTCCTTGTAGCCCCAGCTGTCCTGGAACTCACTATATAGACCAGGCTGGCCTCTATCTCACAAAGATCCTCCTGCCTCTGCCTCCCAAGTGCTGGGATTAAAGGCATGCGCCACCACATCCGGCCCAGTTGCATTTTTTAAAAAATATTTTTTATTATTTTTATTTTATGTGTATGAGTGTATTGCCTGCATGTATATGAGATGAGTGCACCCATGTTGTGCAATACTGTAGAGGTCAGAAGAGGGCTTCTGATTCCCCTGGAACTGGAGTTAAGGATGGTTCATAGCTGCCATGTAGGTGCTGGGAATTGAACCCAGGTCCTCTGCAAGAGTAGTCAGTGCTCTCAACTGCTGAGCCATCTCTCCAGCCCCTGCAGCTGCATTTTAACAGATTTGTTTTTAGTTTCTTTTGGGTTTTTTGTTGTTGTTGTTTTCGTTTGTTTGCTTTTGATTTTTTTGAGACAGGGTCTCCCTGTAGCCCCAGCTGGCCTGTACTCACTGTGTAGACCAAACTGGTCTTGAGCTCAGAGTTCTGTCTGCTTCTGCCTCCTGAGTGCTAGCACTAAAGGCATGGGCCACCACGCCCCGATTGGTGGGTTTTTTGCTTTTTTTTTAATTGTGCTTTTGTTTTATTAGAGACTGAATTTAGAGCTTTGCATTTGCTGGGCAAGCAAGCTACAACTGAGCTACATTCTCAGTCCTTAAAAAAATTTTTTTTTAGCTTTGTGTTTTTTGTTTGTTTGTTTGTTTGTTTTTGGTCTTTTTAAGACAGGGTCTCCCTGTGTAAGGGGTCTGTAAAATTCCCTAAATTGACCACTCGGACACTGAGTCTCAGCAAAAAGGAGTGCTTTATTGGAACCAACAGGTTGGGGATGCAGACAGTCTTGGGAGCTGTACTGCGACCCTGAACAGTAAAAATTCAGGGCTTTTAAGCAGAAAAACCACAAAAACCACAAAAACCACAAAGCAGGGGCTGTCCATAGAGACTATACACAGAATAACCAGGAAAGGATTGGAACAATCTAGGGCAGATTTCCAGAGACTTTACCTACACAGCCATTGGCTGTCTTACCTGGGGCAGAATGTTCTTTCTCTTCTGCCCTGGATTATTCCCATAGAGACCATACACAGATGTATCAAGTATACTGTCATTGGCTAGCCCACCTGGGACAGAACATTCTATCTCTTCTGCCCCAGACCATTTCCATAGACATCATAAACAGATACCAGAAAGGGTTTGAACAATGAAGGGGATTTCCAGAGGTAGGTGGAGGGCAGCTTTTTCTCAGAGGATAGGGAGGGGATCTGAGGGGCACTCTCTTTTCACCTGTAGCCCCAGCTGTCCTGGAGCTCACTATGTAGGCCAGGCTGGCCCTGAACTCACAGAGATGGGCCTGCCTCTGCCTCCTGAGTACTGGGATTAAAGGAGTATGCCACCTCTGCCTTCTGAGTGCTGGGATTAAAGGCATGTGCCACCACACCCAGCTTAACTTTGTGTTTTGAGACAAGATTATACTAAATTGCCCAGGCTGCCCTTAAGCTTTCAACCCTCCTGCCTCAGCCTCCTGAGTAGCAGGGATTATGGGATTGTAACCTCAGGTCAAGATTTTATTTTAATACATTTAATGAGACAGAGAATAAAACTTTTTCAAAGTTTTGGCCTTTTTTTTTTTTTGAGATAGGCTCTCCCTGTAACTCCAGCTGGCCTAGAACTCACTATGTAGACCAGGCTGGCCTTGAACTCAGAATGCTGGGATTAAAGGTGTGTGCCACCATGCCTGGCTTCACTTTGTGAAGTTTAAACCAGAAGAAAATGGCATGTGTTACTGCAGAGTAAACAAGCTATATTCTGTGTCCTAAATTGCCAGTTACCAGAAGTTATAAAATTAAACACTCTGGGAGGCTAGAGAGATGGCTCTTAAGCAAGAACACTAGCTGCTCTTACAGAGGACCTGGGTTCAGTTCCCAATACCCACATGGTGACTAACATATCCACATGGTGACTAACAACCATCCATAACTCCAGTTCCAGGGGATCTGACAGCCTCTTCTTTCCTCTGTGGACATTGCACAACACAAGTGTACTTACATACATGCAGGCAAAACTCATACACATAAAATTAAAAAATAATAATAGAAGTAAAAACAAAAAGTGTTCAGTTCCTTTTGTACCCATAGGAGGTCTAACAGTCAGGGTCATGTGGTTTCCAGGAATCCAGGCTCTGTAATCTGAAACCCATTATGCTAATGAGGCATCTGGCCAGCTATACTGTGATAGAAAGCTAAGCCTGTTGTGCTAATAAGGTATCCTACTCGCTGTGCTATGTTTGGACCGCTACCCCTATATAAGCTTGTGCCTTCCTGCAATAAAGTAGATCTGTGTCACTGAACCTGGTCTGCGTCTGAATGCGGCTAAGCTGGCGCAGACTCCTCACCAGCCCTGGGGTCCAGACCAGACGACTGATCAGAGGAACTAAGAGAGCAGGAGAGTGGCCATAGCCAGAGGAGAACAGCTACAGCCAGCATCCACAAGTAAGGCCATGTTGCTGAAGACACTACATGATGTGAACAAGGGAGGAGAGACAGAGCTGAGACTAACCTGAAAAATCCATGCCACTGGCTTTCATAGTTCCAGAAGACGCTATACAGATGGTTGGGGGAAAAGGATCACCTATGATTCTGCTTTATGATGGACCTGAGTGCTGCACACTAGTGATATGCCAAGCTGGTGCAATAATGGCTCGACTAACATATGTACAACTGACAAAAATTCTAGTTAGATAAGGCCTGCTCCTAGGGGTGGAACACACATCTGGTGCTGTAGACCAGGCCAACTCCCTTTGTCAGGGAAGGCTGTAGGCCCCAGCAGGGAAGCCGCTGCAAGTATTCTGTTCAATAAATATGGTACACCTGCTGGGGTATCTTCTAGGCATTTGTATTTACACCCATGTTTATTTAGATGTGTCTGCTTCCATTTGTCTTTATAGTAGGGGAGACACCACTGAGATGGATAAACAGCCACATCTTCAAAGCAAATGATGGGGAGGCCCAGGAGTCCAATATCTCACCATAATGGAAGGAAAAAGAAATCGTCCTGCATCTGTCACCCCCTCCAAGGCTCTGGGATCCTTAAGGAAGATTGGCGGAAAGCTTATGCAAACCAGAGGAAGGGGCGGCATGTTGGGTAGACGTGTCCTTCAAGACAATCACTTCTCCCATCCAATCTGTCAGCTTCAATTGCATGAGGGGGTGGGTCTAAGGACAGATGCTGAGACTGCTGGAAAGTACTAAGGACACTGGGAAAAAGGGTGGGGGAGTTGCCATCTTGGGGAGGTCCAGCAGGTGAGATGCAGTTCTGGTGGCACAGATCTCAAAGCTCAGCCAAGATGTGTGAGAGAAAGAGCCCACCAGGGTACATGCCTTTGTAAGTCACCCCCTCCCAAACATCATAAACTATCCAAAAACCCAAATAGAAGGTATCCTATTGGTTTTGTCAGCCCTGGAATCCCAGAGAGTGCACACGGGTCTTGGAGGGTGGGGATTTGGTGTGACATCAGTCAATGTGCATCTGTAAGAAAAGCATAAACAAGACTTGTGGGTGTTGTGGTCTACTAGCAGCATGTGCACATGGAGAAACCACCCACATATAATTAGCCCTGACAGAAAAATGAAGATCTTCAAGGAGGATCATCAACTAATAAACCTGTTCCTGTGTCATCAGTGTGAGATTTAGTGGATTGTGGGACAGAGTTGATGTGGGAGAACCAGAGAATTAGTTGGAATTAGAAGGAATACAAAATTGATAATTGATCAGATATAGAGATAGTAAAACATACATACACTTGAATAATCAGTTTTAATGTTTTATTTATAAACACATAATCCCAGGCCTCAGATTTTCCAAATGTGTTTTTCTACCTCTCTCTTTCTCTTCCAAGGTAAGATTAAATCTACAGGGGCACAGACTAAACTTTATCTTGTGACAATATAAATTAATACATGTGAAATTAATAAAAAATTATTTCATGAAAGTTTTTAGAAATTAAAAAAAAAAAAGCAATATACTTCAGGTACATATACCTCAGTATTAGAGTGTTTTCCTGAGGTTTAATTCCCACTACCACAAAAAAATTAAAAAAAAGCCAGTGAAAAGAGGATGAAAAGTGTACTCCACATTACAGGTTTATCAGAGAGGGCTGTCCATGAGGCAGAACATGCAGACATGCCTGGCCTAGGAAGAAGCCACCAAAGCTGCTTTCTAGCAGTTAAGAAACACGCATGGCGGGCTGGGCATGGTGGCGCACGCCTTTAATCCCAGTGCTCGGGAGGCAGAGGCAGGTGGATCTCTGTGAGTTCAAGGCCAGCTGGGGCTACAGGGAGACTCTGTCTCAAAAAAGACCAAAAAAAAGAAAGAAAAGAAACATGCAACATAGACGTGAGAAAAAAATGGAATCCAGGCCAGAAAATGTTTTTTTTAATTTACTTTTTATTTACATGTATGTGTGTGTTTGTGTGAGTTTATGGGAACCTACATGTAGTGCCCTTAGGGCCAGAAGAAGGTGTCCAGATCCCTGGAGCTATAGTTACAGTTACAGGTGACTGTGAGTCACTGGATATGGATGCTGGGGACAGAACCCCTGGTGCCTTGCAAGAGCAGTAAGTGCTCTTAACCACTGAGCCATTTCTACAGCCCCAGAAAATAATTGTAATGCAAGTAGAAAGGATCAGTCTACCTCATTGTCTCTTCCTTGGTGCTTACTCTGTTAACTCCTCATTCCTGAGGTTCTGAGGAGGTGAAGGAGCAGGCCATATTTCTAGAGTGACTTCCATGTGGGAAGGAGTCTCATACAGACAGCTTGATCCTGGATCTAGAGGAAGGCAATGTCCTTTAGAGCTGGGAGCATATACAAAAATTAGTTTATATGTGATTTGTTGCCTCCTCCAATCTCATCTCTTCCTCCTCATAGTCACTGGATAGCTGCATCATACTTGGACCCATGGGGACTCAAAGTCACTTTTAAAGAACCTGAAAAATAAATATATCATGACAAAGAGTGAATTTGGGAGAACCAGGGTAGAGAATCAGGGAGCTTGGTTCTTTGGGCATGACTTTAGCATTTCTGGCTAAGGAACTAGAGCCCAAAATAGGAGAGAGTGGATGCTGGGGGGGGGAGTTGGGAGAGTGGGGGTGAATTCAGGGAAGGATGGAAATAAAAAAACACACCTTTTCTGCTGAGGAGCAGCCTTTGCTGTTGTTCATGTTGATATTCTTCATGGAGATGAGGGTGATGCTGTCTTTGTCTCCATTGGCTGTGGAACAGCTAGGGCAGGAAGGGAGTCCAGGTTAGAGAGAGGAGAGGGCAGAGCAATGAGGAGTCAAGAGACAAAGGGAGCACTACACCTTCAATCTTTGTTTCAAAAAAACCATACTTACAAAACAAACCAAAAAATAAAAATAAAAAACAACAACGGGGGGTGGAGAGATGGCTCAGCGGTTAAGATCACTGACTGCTCTTGCAGAGGACCCAGGTTCAATTCCCAGCACCCACATGGCGGCTATGAACTATCCTTAACTCCAGTTCCAGGGGAATCCGAAACTCTCTTCTGACCTCCGTGGCATTGCACAACACGGGTGCACTCACATATGTGCAGGTAATACACTCATACACATAAAAATAAAAAAATATTAAAACAACAACAAAAACTGTACTTAGGGGTGGGGCATAATGAATGAGAATGTGCTTTGAAGCTGAAGAGACTTGTATTTAAACCTTGGTTTTGTTTTTGCTTGTTTGTCTGCTTTTTTGAGACAGGCTGTTCTGGATAGCTTTAGTGTTAACTTGATACACCTGGGTTGAGGGAGCTTCAGTTGGAAAATTGCCTCTATTGGACTGGCCTGTGGCCATGTCTGAGAGGCATCTTCTTGATGAGTGATGTGGGAGGGCCCAGCCCACTGTAGGTGGTGCCACCCCTGGGCAGGTGGGCCTGTGTTGCATAAGAAAGCAGACTGAGCAGGGGCCAAGGGAGCAAGCCAGTAAGCAGTGTTCCAGTTCCTGCCTCCAGGTTCCTGCCCTGAGTTCCTACCTTGGGCTCCCTGATGAACTACAGGGAGATGTAAGCTGAATAAAACCTTTCCTCCCTCAAGTTGGTATTGGTCAGAGTATTTTGTCACAGACAGTAATTGGTACCAGAGAGTGGGATATTGCTGTGACAGACCTGCTCTTGGTGTTTTGGGGAGGACTGTGGAAGTGTTTGGAACTTTGGGCTGGAAAAGCCATTGTGTGCTCAGTTTGTTGCAGTAGAGCTTGGAACAGTTATGCTGAAAGAGTTGTAGACAATGGAGGCCTGGCTTGTGAAGCTTCAAAGGGAAGCAGAGACTATCAGGGCTGTTCATGTGAGATTTTTGGATTGAAAATCTGTGGGTTCTGGTCGGCTGGGGCTGAAGAATCAGCTGTGATTAAGAAGAGATCAGAACCTGAAGCAAAACCTTTGCTTTACTGGGACAATTAATGCTGGTTAGCTGGGGCTGAAAAATCAGCTGTAAGTAACAAGAGACCAGCATCACTGTGGTGGAATCTTCTGGGAGGTATTTCCTCAGCATCAGCACACAGAGGGGACCTGCACCTCTATTTCAAGCTGGAAGTAGGAGTTGGTAATGTGTAAGAGTCTCCTGCATGGTTCTGGTGTTGAAAGCGTGAAGGGGTCAGAGAGAGCAGCTGAAGCTTGGCACTCTGAGAGGCCAGGAAAGGTCATAGGTGAAAGTGAAGCTTCAGTTACAGCAAAGACCCCAGAATTGAAGGGGTCATGGAGAGAAACTGAGGCTTTGCACCCCAAGAGGCAAGAAGAGGCCATTGG